AGCACTGTGTCACTGCTCCCCCAACGGATAAGTCGCGGTACTCCCTGTACATGTTGTGTACTCCAGAGCGAGACTCATAACGCAGCCATATACCAAAGTTTTTTATCTTGATAGGGCTTTTCTCTGGAATTTCCTAGAATTATACAATGATAATTAATCTATGAATACTATAGCAATAATTGTATCCTAAATAGTTTGTTTACAACTACTGGTTTGAATACAAAAATTAATTTTGTACCTTACCTAAAAAAGCTAGAACATCTTTGCTGTTACTACTAATAGTAGATAATTAATGGAAAGTTAAAAACAGGGAAATTATATTCCTTTTATAAGAGATTATTTTATGTGGTCATTCATAGTAAAGGGTAAAATCATGTATGACATAACAATTTTCTAATAATAAGGCAAACATTTCTATCTATTCACAGTTCACACTGACTCATAATTTGACTTATTTAATAATTCTTTAACGAATGCAAGAAAAAATTATGAACATTTATAGTAAAAACAAATTCTTTATGATATTTTTCAGAAATAAAGTGCTTTAATAGGAGTAACACAATAGCTAAAAAATCGAAGCATCTAGTAACATAAGTAATGTCATAAAATCGTGTTAGTATGTGGGTCACGATTATCTACACCCATATTTCTAAATCCAACCCAGTATGTGTTCAAGAAATATTAATAATGAATCAGTGTAACTCGAATAACATTAATGCGTTTTTATTTTATGTACAGTTAATAGCTTAAAAACTTACCCGGATTGAAACAATTTCTCCTGTTGTTTTCTTGAACTTCTTCAGTTGCCTTAAAAAGTACCAAAATCGTGACTTAGCTACAATTTGGTCTGGCGAGAAGATTCTCATTTTATACAGTGGTGGCTTCGGCTCATTGTCCGATGGCAACTTACGGCCAATGACTTCATATTCGTTCAACTGAAATTTTTAAATTGTATTTAAAGTAAACTATACAATTTATACAAAATATTTATATACAACATTGAAGAGAGGCTGAAATAAATTAATAAGCTACAACATACAGACAACATGACATAACCTAAAATTTCCATACAAATATTATATTCGAAGGCAAAAAAACAATAAGCAAATAAGAACATAGGTAGTTTCATTTTCAATAATATAAATAAACAGCATATAAAACAAATTCAATTACATTAGCATGATAATTAGTAATAGTACAGTGCGGCAACGTGTACCATGCACTGTATACAAGCACGACTTCACTTTATTCATATTAGGAAGTTAAATACAATAAATCTTTAAGTATTATGTGTATACATATTTTGATATAATTAATATAAAACAAACACTACAATTTATAAGCAACATCTACATTTAATTAAAAATCTTACCTCGCCTTTAGCTTTCATTTTCGGTGATTTTAGCTAAAAAGAACTGTCAACGGAAGCGGAACACTCAGAAAAGGAAGATGGCGTAATTGTCTTTGTTCTATTCTAGTCTCTATTACCAATATCCACAGAATATCACAGATTCTTTTTTTTTATCATTTATAAATAAATAAAATAAGTACTATTAGCTATCTCAATAATTGAGGAAAACATTGTAGTATTTTTTTTTAGCTTTGTATTATAAAATATAACCTATCCCTAATGGCTTTTGATCCCTTCCATTCCAAGACAGGAACTTATTCCAACACTTCCAACCATTATCGTTATATTTCAACTAATTTACAAAAAACCTTGTCCAACCAAAAAACTATAATATACCTTTCTCATAAATTTTTCCATCTCTTAATGACCTTCACTTAGAAATTCAAGCATATTTTAAGTTTATTTGCTATTTTTTTAATATGTATTTATGCTGTATTCAAAAATTATTATATATGTTTGACAAAGAATATCATATTTATTTGAATGATTAGTTAATATTTTTTATTTATGCATGCATCTGAAAAATATAGAGGCATGGTTAGTAATGTAAATGTTGGAACTGACCAAAGTTACGAGGTGTAATGTAGCATTCGCATCAAGCGTGTTACGATCGAGCATGTTACGCTGTGTTCTAAAATCGGCGTAACATGCTCGTCAAAATCTTGCTCCGCTTTCGCCGCCAGTGTTCACGAGATGGCCAACAGCAGGACGTGTAACTTTGGTCAGTTCCCACCTTTAAAGTAATATACCAATCAACGGAGTAGCTAATGCTCAGCCCTGAAAAAAAATAATGCTTTTTTTTCAACGCATGCTTTAAAGGTGGGAACTGACCAAAGTTACGCGGTGTAATGTAACACGTTACACAGCGAGTTCATGCAGTCAGTACGTCTTTATGGAAATCAGCAGAACGAGCCGCTCGTTACTCGCTTTGAGTGCTCCACCCGGCGGTCGGTTTTTCAGCGAATCCTTTGACTGTACGCGTCGCACGTCGCGATTGATCATGATTATAATTTTCTATAAATTGTGTCTTTTTTAAGTACTTCTGGTCCAATAAAATTCAACAGTTCTTCAGTTTTTATACTGTCCAGTAATCATTCGGTTTTTAATATTGCAATCAATAACAAACCACCTCATACCTTGTTTTTGAATAAGTTTGATGTCCAGTTACCTTTTTTGTTCTTCTTCTTAATTTGGATGAAACAATGATTAAATAATTAATATCAACACGTCCTCGCTGTTGGCCATCTCGTGAACATGACGGCGAAAGCGGAGCACAGAGTTTTGACGACATGTTAGCGATTTTAGAACAACGTAACATGCTCGATGCGTAACACGCTCGATCGAATCTACATTAACCTCTAACTTTGGTCAGTTCCCACCTTATGGGGCGTTCCCACGAGGCGTTAATCACGACAGTCAACACCTTTCTAAATACACTTCTGTTGAACATAGCGTTAAACTTCTTTCTGAGGAACGGCGACGACACAAGTGGATAGATCAAACGTGTTTGATTTTCAGTCGTGATATACCGTTCGTGAAGCCAAGATGTCGTCACAACAACGTGGAATTAAGTTTAAGACAGTGAAACTACCGTTTTTGGAGTTATATTCTATGGAAAAGGTGTTATATGATCCAAGTTTGGAGGAATACCGTATAGAGATTTACGTGCCGCCGCAGCTATGAGAATAAGTCATGAATGAACGTCTTTTTTTCGTTTTCTTTGTCATGATCTTTTTTGCTATGATAGTAGCAAAAACCGAACTTAAAACAGCACAACTTTCAACAACCAGATCATTCATGATCGATGTTTCGATAATGACTAAGTCGAAACACGAAGCGTGAACGGCACGAAATCCCCCAACCATGTGAACGTTTCATCAATTCACACTTTCGTGAGTGTCACGAACGACAGTTGACTAGCGTAGTTGACTGTCGTGATTAACGCTCCGTGGGAACGCCCCATTACACGCTCGATGCGAATGCTACATTACACCTCGTAACTTTGGTCGGTTCCCACTTAGGCCTTGGTATAGAATACAATAACTTTGTCTGTCACCGACCACCGTGTTGTACCATAGAATGCATTATGTAAGTAATACGTCGTACACGGTATGAGACATGAGTCTTCCTTGTCTGTGGTATAAATTGCGCGAATAGTCGAATGTCGAGATTAGTATTTACTATTTAGTGTTTTGTAGTAGGAAATGTGACAATTACTCAGAATTTCCTGGTTTATTGTATATTTTTCCAATTCAGGATTTAAAATTAATAATAAACTGTAATGTGAATATCTTACTAAAAAATTATAATGTTCAGGAGAAACGTATCACGCGTAGTAAAGTATGGCCTTTACGGGAGTGTAGCTATAGGTGGTGGTGCATTTGTAACATCCATTTACCCAGACGCGGATTATAATTCTCTACCCATTGTAAGACATACTAGAGCTGCCCGAACTGCTCTGGAGATTAGTCAGATGTATAAATCAATGCTTTATAGTAAGAATTGGGATAGAACATCAGAAGAATATTTGAAAGTGCGAAGTGAGGCTCATAAATTGGGAGCGGAGAAACTACTTGAATTATGTAAATCAAATAAAGGTGTGTACATTAAAGTTGGACAACACGTTGGTGCTCTAGAATACTTGTTACCATCTGAATATGTAACAACAATGAAAATTTTACATAAAGATGCACCAAGGAACACTGTCGAAGAGTTGTATAAAGTTTTAAAGGATGACCTAAAGCATGATGTAAGGAACTTAATAGTTTTAGAATAAATTTAATAAAAAAATAAGTGATATGATCATTCTTGCATAATATTTCAGCATATTATTTATTCTGAACCAATTTTTTTTTTCATAAATTTTTATTTGTGTTTCAGCCTGCTGAAATTTTTGTTGAATTTGACCCTGAACCTCTTGGTACTGCGTCACTTGCGCAAGTTCATAGAGCAAGGTTAAAGGATGGAACAGAAGTTGCTGTTAAAGTTCAACATAGTTATGTTAGGAAAAATACTACCATTGACCTCCAATGGATGGAACTCCTTATAAAAATAATGTCAAAAGTTTTTCCTGATTTTCAAATGCAATGGTTGGTTGATGAAACTAAAAAAAATATTGCCAAAGAACTTGATTTCATGGAAGAAGGTAGAAATGCTGAAAAAGTTGCAGAATTATTTAAGAACTATACCTGGCTGAAAGTACCAAAGATATTCTGGGAGTTTTGTACGGAAAGAGTTCTTGTCATGGAATATCTTACTGGAGGTCAAGTTAATGATATTAAATATATTGATGTATGTATATTTCAGAAGTCCTTAATAGCAGAGAAAAACCTTAAAGTCAATAATTTTTGTAGACAGTGTAAATAGTTTTTTTTTATTTCATCTAGAATTCTAAATAGGCCTAGTAATGTATATATATATATCTCCAATTGTTTAAAATGTCTTATTATATTAATATATTATTCTCATTTGTAGAGTCACAATATTAGTAGAACTGACTTATGTACAAAATTAGGTGACCTATATTCACATATGATATTTGTTACTGGTTTTGTACACAGTGATCCACATCCTGGTAATATTATTGTTAAAAAAGAACCTGGAGATAAAGAAGTAACAATTTGTTTATTGGACCATGGTCTTTATGCGGTAAGTGCAGTAAATTTTTAAGAGTAAATATTGATGAGATATTTTTTATTTATGTGAAAAATTTAAATTATTTTACTAAATATATTTAATACAAGTGACATCAGAATAATAGTATAAAACATTCAACAGAAAAAGTTTAATTAAATGAAATCAAAAGAAGTCATCACTAAATCAGTAATTATTGTTTCAGCAATTGTCAGACAAATTTCGTTACCACTACTCAAAATTGTGGCTCTCAATAATTGCAAAAGACAAAGAGGGTATTAAATTCTATGCTGGAAAACTGGGCATAAACGAGGATTTGTATGGGCTGTTTGCTTGTATGGTAGCAGGAAGGCCTTGGGATGTCATTATGAAGGGCATTGACATAACAAAGCCATCAGCATCTGAGGTCTTTAATTTTTTGAAGAGGACCAAAATTTTTATTATGGAATTTTTGTTAATATTATTTGTCTTTTCAGAAAGTTACATTTCAAAATGAGTTACCCAATTTCTTAAATCGTGTCTCTCAATGTTTAGAGTATGTAGACCGGCAAGCTCTACTTATTATGAAGACAAACGATCTGATACGAAGTATAGAGTATTCATTGGAAATGCAAGATAGAATGTGTGGTTTTATGATTATGACAAAGTGTTGCACTGAAAGTGTTTATAAGCTGGAATTAAAGGTTAGTATTTGCAATTGATTTGTTGCTTAATGAAAATTTAACAATAAACTATGAAAATGATTACATTATCATAAAATATACTTTTAATCAATATCTAGGTAATGTTTGGGGCTTAATTTACTTCTCAGTGTCATAATTAATGCATAAATAAGTTTGAAAGACAATTTGAATTTTTTTGGAAATAAATTTCTTGGTTTAGTAGTAGTTGATGCCTCAGATGGCTTTCATAATTTAAAATTCACATAAATACGTAGGCCTGTTATACTGTCCATACTAATTTATATTCAAAGTATGCTTTAGCGTACTTACAATATATTGAGTTCCTTGTTCCTGACTTGAATTTAAAATAAGAATATTGATGTGTATTTATAAAACTTGCACGTCTAAATCTCAAAAGAGCCAATGGTATTTATTGAAATACAGCTCTAAATTATTTTTAAAATATCTTATTAAGCACATGGTAATAAAATATGTATCACCAAATTAACAAAAATTCCTTTGGTGATACAATAAAATTGTAATTAGATAGTGAAATCAAGTTTTGGGTGTTTGTTGGCCAATATTAAAATGGCCTAAAATTCTTATATCCTAATTTATTCTAATCAAACCTGGTGGTTTGACATAACAATTAGCCAAATACCATAATGGTCTTGTAACTCTGAGGTGACTTGGTGAGATTCTTACCCAATATCTATTTTGCTGTAGTGTGAATTTTTTCTCATAAATATATTTCTTTACAGGCTAAAAGCCTTAATACATGTATTCAATTTAAGTATTTTAACAATGTTAATAAGAGTATTTTTATTGCAGAACGAAAATTCACAAGTGAAACGACAATTATTAAGTATAAAGTACCTGTGGTCTCTTTGTGTCCTATATTTCTATGCAATCTATTTAACAGTACGAGAGAAATGGAATATGTGCTTCTACAACACAAATCGTTGTGCTTCCGTTTAAGTGTCACAGGAAAATTTAAAAATGTGTATTTGAAATGATGAATAGACCCTGTGTCTACTTTTGTATAAGAAACTTAGCGCAAATTATTTATTGAAATTGTATATGCAGAAATATTTATGACTTGCGGTGTATTTTTTTGCTAGTCACGCGATACACTTTACCTCTTCAAAACGGGAAAATTATATATAAGTTATAGTCGTATTTACAATTTGTACATTTTGTATATTAAGTATCGTGTAGGGCTATGCTAGTAGATTTTAATTTATTTGTACACGGCTATGTTGAAAATAAATCAGTTATTTTATTCATAAAAAGTTTTATTTAAATTTGTATTTTATTTTCCAAATTTGATAATTTGTTACTCAAAACGATGAGGTCGTTTTGAATTTTTAGTAAAATATTAGTGAAGTTATCACGACTTTTCCTTCCATGTAATTTAAAGAAGAGCGATGTCGAGGAAATTTTTGAACAAACTTCGCTTTTGCAATCTGAAGGCAAAGTGTTTGCTTTGTTCTCGTTTTTCGTATTTATTGCCACTGTTGTTTTAAAAATTGGTGTACCTAAAAGGTTATTTAAATTAATATACTGAAACTTTGCACTAAAGTATTAATATGGAATTCTGTTTCATGTAAAATTTAAAAATACAATCTAAATAAAAACGTTTTAAGTCTGAGCCTCAGATTTTTTGTGATTATTTGCAAATTCTAATAGGCAATTAGATCGGCACACACCGATGACTTTTTGGGTTAAAGGCATCCCGGTTTCCAAACGATGTTTTCCTTTACCGAGCTAGTGTTAAACGCGCACATAGAACGTCCATTAGTTCACAGCCAGGGATCGAACTTACGGCCTTAAGGATGAAACCGACCATAAGACCAACACTGGTTAAAAATACAACTCGTATTATAATTATTATTTTGCCTCACAACATTAACGTTACATTTAGCCACACTATAAAAATATAAACCTTACCAGTTGACTTTGCACTACTATCATTGTGGATTTTCTCTTCAAATTCGGTGCCACTTGAACTGTTTCGGTTAAGGATACTACTATCGCCCATTGTTAACATATTCTTATGATATCCAGAAGTGTCTAGAAAAAATGTGAGCGTGCTACGCAATGCATTTTTGCGTCTATGATAAATTTGATTTTACATAGGTATAAAGCGGGAATTATTAATTAAATGTGTACTTAGTACACGTGTAAACCAGACCCAGACCATTACGTCATTCCGATTACATTACTATTTATATGGTGTAGTATGTATATGTTATTATAGCTATTAACTCGAGAAAATCTGAACAAACTACCGCATCACTTCTATGACGGCAAAAAATAATAATGAAACATATATATGTACGACGTTTTAGTATCGTAACCAAATCTAAAAAGCCAACGAAAAATAACCCCTCCTTTAATGAACGTACACTGTGTATATGACGTCTTTTGTCTCGGAATCGAACCTATTTGTTATACATACTATATAATATATTAAATACTGTGATATGAGGGTAACATATTGGTGTACATGACTGGTTTCCTGGTAACCACACTTCTAAAATGTAAGGATGTTGTGGTTCATTCCCAGTACGCAGATCTGTCAACGGTAGCTCTTTGCCATCCTCCGATTCTAGTTTAATAATCTCATCGCAATAATCTGGCAGATCTAATAGATGCCACACTTTTTGTCTCAGCACTGAAATTGATGCTGTTGGCTTTACGGCTATGTAGTGAAGTTTGTTGTCTAGCACTGCAAGAATAAACTAGAATAATGTTCCATGCTCATAGGCCGGAATAAATTTATTTTATTTATAAAGATTTCTTAGATACGGAAATTTACGAATTAAGTTTCATTTTTAACGAATAGTGAAGACATATAGTTTAACGATAGGTATATTTTTTTGATATGACAGCCGCAAACAATGAGAATGTGATCAGTTAAATTTAATTGAGGCCGGATGCTCGACCCGATCTGGATCAATTTGGCACATAGATTACGTTACCCAGAAAATATTCGTTATCCGTAGACGTGATATCCAAGTCGAGGGCAAATACTTACATAATAAACAACTTACCGCCTAAATCATGACGACGAATTGTTAAGAATGTTATAACATCTTTTTTAAATAATTTACTCGGCGCCTTCAATATTTTAATGAACGACATCGCAAAAGAATTTCATAAATTATTCATCTCGTATGATAAATTCAAGGCTATAATTTGCGAAAATATTTAACAAAATAACTTCATTGCATTTTTCTTTATCTTGATTAATATAAAGAATCACAAAAAGTATATATTATAAATTAAACATTACAAAAACTTAAAATAATTTCTCGAATATTAAAGCGTCTAAATCAGATACATGTTTGACAACTTCTTTCTAGTTTGATATCAAATATGTACTTATATTTTTTTTGTTTATGATTAATTCATAAACAAAAAAATATCTAATCGATCAAATCAAAAATTGGTGCATCGGTAAAAGCCGTAATTATGGCGCTATTATATATTATTGTCTACCGTTCTGCTGTCATGTTTGAATTGATTATTTGATTTGATTATTTCTCTGTGAAACTGTTCTAGGGTACATCAATTATTATCAAATTTATATTAAATTTTTTTCTATTCTTCTTAATAACTAAATAAATAAGTAATGCAATATTTATTGCATATTTTTGTTCAATTTGTTTAGAATTAGTTAATCTAAGTAGGACTTTTATTGGACTGCAGTTGTTAAAAAAATTCAGCATCTCCAAACAATTTCTTAGTTAATCACTACGAGAAAAGTTACTTCCGATACCTTTATTAAATATCCTTAAAATAATTTTATTAAAAATTATTATAAATATATGTATGTTAAACCTAGTCAATTTTCGTTGCTTGAATCGCATACCACATAGATTCAAAAAATACCCATTGCCAGATTTCGACGTAGGGGTAGTAAATTAATCCATAAGTGTTGTTGACTTCACAGTTATCTGAAAATAAACATATTGGGTAGTAAAACAAGCGTTCTTCCTTTTTACTGCTCTCAACTCAACTCTCTTTTATATAAAAAATTCAGGAAGAGGTGTATTTAGTAAAAACTCTTTACAGGACGCTCTAATGTGTATTTTTTACAGACAAAAAAGAAATAGGTACTTACATATTCCTCTCTTGGTACAAAAACTAACAAATGTTTCACTGATATTTTTATCTTTTAAGGCAAAAACGTGATCAAGCGTGTTTGCATTCATGTTTTTATTAGGATGGATTGGGATCGATAATTTAAATAATTTAACTTACTCTTTTCCAAAATCTTTGTAACATCCTCTGGGGTTATAAATTTTCCATAATCGTGTATTCCCTTTGCGGCGCAACCAAAAACATTTTCCGAAAAGAAAACACCTATTCTCGATGTTAATGTTCTATTTGGCGCTGTTATGAATATTTTACCACCGGGTTTTAGGGTTTCTATGCATAGCTTTAAAAATAGTTCCTTGTTCACTACATGGTCTAAAACTTCTGAAGCGACCACTGCGTCGTAATAGTTGCGGTGATTTTGGGCATGATCCTAAAAAATATATTCTACACTCAATGTTTCTTACAAATTACTCTGTGGCAGAATGTTATTAGGTACATCGTCCCTAAGAATGAAAATTTATGAAATTTGGAAGATTTAATCTCCGCATAAATGAGACTTACCTCGATAGTTGTGCAGTAGTATCTTGGTCTATTGCCTGCTACTAATGGATATATGCTTGCATGTTCAGTTGCTAAGTCAATCAATTCCTGACACGGGTCTATTCCAGTAACTTGGGCTCCTATTTTCGCTAAGCCCTGCAAAATTAAGTTATCATTACTAATTAACTCCGAGCATTCTTCATTTGGTTCTTCAAAAAGTAACTCTGTCGTGTGATATATATGATGACTATTACAAAAAGAATATTCCGACGATCACGTCAAATCATAAATTCTATGTATAATTTCCGCTAATTTTTATCGTTTAAAACAATCCTGTTTATTAGGTAGGTCTATATTACATGTGAGAATTATAAGCATGCATATCAATACTTCCGCTTGGGTTCTATATTTCCTAAACATCTGTTATAGTTGCCACTAACAACGCGTATATTTGCTTTTGAGAAGTATTAATGTCAAAGATTATACTAATTACCTCTGATAAAATGCCCCCTCCACAGCCTACTTCCAATATTTTCTTGTTTGCCAGGGGTTTTGATAATTGCAATATTTCGTCTTTTGATACAAGTCCATCTCTAATATATGGTACTCTAAAACAATGATTATCGATAAAAACTTTTTATATTTCGCTTAAACATTTAAGGGAACTGCTTACTGTTACAAACATTGGAGTTCGAAATCTAGAAAAAAACATCTCGGTAAAACTTTTGTATATAACCTTGACATAGAATACAATAAAGACGTTATAAAATAAATAAATAAAAACGTAAAACGGTGACACTGTTCTTTTTTTAATAACTCCAAAATTGTATTCCCTAAAACCTGTTTCAATCGCAATATATTATATGAAACGTGATAACTATATAGATACCTGCGATGGTTCAAGCTGTGTAAGGTCACGGTGCAGCCATGTGGGTCCCACCACAGGTCTTTAATATTTCTATGCCTTTCAATTTCTCCTTTATCAACTGTTGTAAAAGCATCATGTGTAGCTGACATTCTCTAACAAAACTTGGATATATGTTTGATAAATTTCAGTTGAAACTCTTATAACACACGCGACTGTCTTCAACGACTTACACCAATTATAATAAACCTGCAGTCGATCTACACAAAATATATAATTAAATATGTATAATGATTTTACGAATATGAGGATGTTAATTATGTATAAGTTGAATAAAAAACAAAACCGATTAATACTTACGTCATTTTAAGATTTAAAATGTTTTTGTAGCGATTAACATATATATATGATATTTTTTGATCCGAGTAAAATATTGTAAATTTTTAAGACAATCACAAAAACATCATTCATCTTTTTTATCACTATATAAATACATAAATCCGTAGATGAAAAGTAAAGACAAAAAACTTACTGTCTATTTACAGATTTAAGCAATACCTAATAAATCTAATGCCATAAATGTTGCATATCTATTATATGCCACAATACAAGGGACGACCGAGGATATGAGGATATAAAACAACACATTGCGGAGTGTATAGACATTTTTTATTCAAGTTTAGTTGCGATGAGAACCTACCAAATGCATTGGAAGCATATCCACATTCATTTATTTACGTACGGGAAGTACGTGCACCCGAATACGTTATCCACTTTGCAGTCTTTGCAGTTTGGAACAACCAGAGAGAATTAATAAATTTATTAGTAGAGAGAGTATGTCTAAGAAAAAAATTATGGAAATTATTTATTCGTAGAGATATTTATTGTCTGTTGTCTGGTCTCTGGTCTGGTTTTTTCATCCTACGGTATTGTTTAAGGGAATTCATGAACTGCTAACAAAACTGACTGACTTCTATCATTATACATATATTTTAATATTTATATTTTATATATTAGATCACTAAGCACTAAAATTATGCAAATTAGTATCTTACTTTTATGAGGCATATTCGCAAGTCGCAACAAACTGTTTATCTCATAAAGTCCCCTTTTAAATATTCTCAGTTAAAATATTACGAAGAAATGTAATAATCGCGTTCTATTTGGAGTTGTGCGTAAACGGCGACGTGTTAAGAAATGTTTCTACATTATAATATCGAGTTCATTATTTCCGAGGCATGGATGACAACATCGTAATGATTTGAAAAATTCGATGCGTGATCCTAAAAAAGACATTATCATTTTATAAAAACATTAAAATTAAGGAATAAATTAAAGATGGTAAAGTCACGTAACACAAATGTAATTTTTGGGTATGGGATAGGATAGCTAAATATTTTTAATAGTAAATTTTTTATGCATGCATACATAACATGTGTTGTAGTAGTTATTATATCTTATTGAGTATCGTAAGGTTTGAAGGCATAATTAAAACAAAATATCAAAAGTAAAAACATATAATAAGGATACAATGTTATAATATTAATTATTACGTTACTGGTCAATCCGATGTTAAAACAACTGAATATTTTTATCCTGCAAGGCGCGTAAATTCTATACTTAATAAATATAGTTTAAAAAAACTAAAAAACACGCTTTTAAACTATATTTATTTTCCACTTTTTAGTCCTAGCAGCAATACGTATTATCTCAATTTAATCGTATTGCTTTGTGGACTTAAAAAAAATTTCATTGTTTTTCGAGATAAACCTATGAAATTATTATATTGTCGCTGATTCTTTATAAGTGTACAAAGTTTGAATTAAATCTGTCCGTTTAATGTGGGTCAAAATCGAGTCCGAAGGTGTCGGTTACATACATACATACATACATACATACAGGTGAAGCTAATATAAAGCGTGTAAAATAGATTTAGTTAATCTACATTCCAATTTTGGTGCCATTCATACGTTTGATGTCAACGATTTATTATTATATTCCAATAGATGAGATTAGATAATATTTGATATTAAGCAACATACCAAAAAACTATATAACTAGGTATTATACGACTCTAATGATTCTTCTCGTTTTTAAACGCAGATTGTATTAAAATAATATACAATATGTGTATAATGAAAATACACCTGTATGCGTGAAAAAAGGCGGATTTTTATACGTACTAAGTATTACTAGTATTTTAAAGGAGCTCTATAAGAATGCAATAAAGTTAAAGAACTTTTAGTTAACGTTGATATATCGAACAATATTTAATAGGTAGGTTGCAACGGGAATGTGTCCAAAGGAAGAAAGAAACAAAATAATAAAACCATAAAAAATCTTTATAAAACATTATTAATATTCTACAAAGGGATAGTTAGGATAATCCTTCCAATCAACGGGGTTTATGACGCGAATGTTTTTGTTGAAACGGCTAATTGTAGCTATTTCATCCTTTGTTAAGCTGAAATCGAACAAATCTATGTTCTGAGCAATGCGGTTTTTGTTTGTGGATTTCGGAATCGGGATTATGCTCCTGTCGATCTGAAACAAAAATATACAATTTAATGTTAATAAAAGCCAAATGTAATTACTTTATGACGCACTTTATTATTGACTTAATATCACTCTGTCGTAATTCGTGTCTGTCTGTCAAATTATTGATGTTAAAAATGTTGTATGATTTCTGAATTAGAATGGTGTTTATATACGATAATAGATAAGAAAAAAGAAAATAATAATAAATCAATCTTTTTAGAACAACTTTTATCTTAAAAATATCTTTATTCCATATTCGCCAACTTTGCTCTCAATATATAGCAGGAGTTATCGCTAAAAATACTTACCAAGTATCGGAGCACAATCTGCGAGGTCTTCTTGCCATACTTTTTTGCTATTTCGACCAATGCTGGGTCATCGGCCCTTGGAGGTGGTGCGGATTCCATCTTTCTGGAGACCAGAAAGCCAAATGGACTGTAGCCCATTGGCACTATACCCTTGCTTTGTAGGTAGCTAATCAAATTCTCTTGAGTAAGGGTTGGGTTTACCTAAAAGTTTGAGAAAGAAAGAAGAAAGTTTGTTTCAATAGTTTTAGGAGCGGAGAATCACCCCTATCAAGTAGGTATATTAGTAAAGTTGCTTTTACAGGCAGAATGAACAACAATCTTTATATCTAGTACTTGAGACTTAATCAAATGAAAAGGCATGAATATAGGCTAACTAATTTTGGATTCCAATACAAACCAACTTACATATAATTTTGTCGTCGACGTTATTTCTTAACACGATGATTTAATTTTATTGTTTCTTTTCAAAAATTTATTTAACATATATTCAAATTAGTATCCAGACACAGATAATAATTACCTCAATTTCATTGACTGCTGGCCAGATTTTTGCAGTCGATAGGAGTCGGTCTATTTGTGACATATTGAAGTTGGACACACCAATTGAACGCGTGAGACCAAGGTGTTTTGCCTGTTCCATACCCTTCCATGTTTCTGTGAAATCGACGTTGTCTGGGGAGCCATCTGCCTAGAAGAATAATTTTGACTCAATCAAAGCTGATTTCGAACAATAACATTTTGCTCTTATTTAAACGTCCAGTGCAGTCAAGTGAAGTGACAACAAGTTTTAATATATCAGTTGTATCACAAGAGAAACAAACATTAAACACTTAGTTACCTACGGGAGTCACAGCTAGCGCTAAGTCTCAACTCTGGATTTTACCCTTAAACCTCAGAGCCTGCGATTAAATCAACATGTGCCGATTACTGTATGTCATATATACAATGGATGGATCCTATCGAAAATATTATGAGTACTAAACGTCATGTCACGAGAGGAAAAATCCCAAAAATCTACGGCGTATATAAAGTACAGAAAACTGAACATTACGTACCTATATATGAGGGAAACAAATCATTTAAAACCAGGCATTTTTTGTGAAAACTTAATATGTATATGCAAATAGCTAAATTACTAAATTAGCATCGGGCTAATTGCCCGTAAATAAGTTTAAAATAAAAATATACTACATGGTACAGACAGGTACATGATCTTATTTCCTATTCAAAACCGTGGAAGCATTTATATCTACTCGCAAAAAATAGACTTTTTCATTCTCCTAATGATGATTACTTACAAAGAAATATACATTTAGATCAAAGCAATCAGAATAACGTCTGTATATTGCAAGGGTTATCACCTAATGAGTATTTAAATTGCCTGGAGGTAAATAGATTTTTATGAATACAAATTTATTATATTTGCGACTGTCTATCTAGAAAACTGTGAAACAGATATCAAAATATATGCACTTGTCCGGTCTCGCCAATTTCTTCTTCTTGAAACTTTACTTCGCACACATTATATTTCGATAATAATCATAAAAATATCGAATATATTGTAATCATAGTTTTAGTTTAGTACTTTAACTCAAAAAATATCAAACCAATATATTTGTATTGTACCTGTTTTTGTATCTGTTTCCAGGGTAATTAGAATAGTGTGTGGGATTCAATTGAGGCTCAATTTATTTATTTTTTGAGTTTTTTACCCAATATGAGGATCCTAGGGTTAAACATATATTGCCATGCTCTGGCTTAACATCGCAATATTAATTGTATAGAAATGGCATTATTTTATTATTGTTGTACATATTCTATTAGATACAACATATTTGAATATTTTGTCAATAGCGTCAACCCTAGGTCGCGCTGTCGACACATTTCTAATGTTAGGAAAAATGCGTTGAGTGATAGAGAAAAGTATGCAAGGTAACACTGACGTATAATGAATTAAATTATATTTTAAACAGCCCAAATGGCTGGCAACTGTTATATCACTGTCTCTAAGATTTATGAAAATTACGATACAAAATAAATGAACAAATACATAACGAATCTATATTCGTAATCTAATTACATAATGTTTATAAAAATATTATGTAATTTGAAATATTTACAAGACGGTTATTGTAATAAATTTCTTGGTATCAGAAATTTCAAATAATAATTAAGTATGTACCAGAAATTTCAAGACAAGATAAGCTTACAATGTTTACGTAGTTTGTAAACATCATTTCAAGAAACTCGTATGAATGTGAAACCAAACGATCAAAAGGAAATTATGTTTTCTTGGAAACAGAACTTTGTTTCCAACTTGAGGACTGTTTATATAAAATATTGTATGTTTATAAATATTTATTTTTATAAATATTGGAAAAGTTTTGATGGGTTTACGAAGAATGATTTTAGCTCATACACACATCTGTAATGAATACGAAACAGTTATAGGTACACAGTTGCCTAGACTAGTAAATTATATCTTATTATTCAATCATAGTTTAACGCATATAATATATTCATAATTTATATAAATATATTATTATTTATATATATATAATGACTTAATATGTATATACGTATTATTATATATATATTTAGTCTACTAGGCTCATTCTGATATGTATCTTTAATGCCCTTTTGAATTGGTTAAACGCGCTAATATTTTAGACGGTAATTGATTATATGTATATATTAATTATTGATATATATATTCGTCAAAATATAATAACTATTTAAAATATTATATTAATTAAGTCAGTTAATTCTTAATCAATTACTCTGAGACTACTAAAACTATGTTATATACTCACTTTGGTGGCGACTGGGAAATGAATGAGGTATAAGTCAACGTAATCCAAGCCGAGTTTCTTCAGAGAATCCTTTAAAGCTGGCACCACTTGCTCTTGACGATGTTTGTCATTCCATAACTGAAAATTATTACTTTTAAAATTAATTTGAGAGCTCCCGTTTGTATTATGTTAATACACCTTAAGTTTAGAATCTCTTGTCTAAAATATTTATAAATTAACATCAATAAAAATCATATATTAAATTCCTTAATTATAATGTATTTTTCTTAAATTTGAATTATTACATTAAAGATGATGTCTTGACAGTTTACCGCTTAAATTAGTATTATAAATTACTAATGCCACAAAACACTTATTTAGTCCAGAAGGATAACATATTTTAGTCGAAATTGTATCTGTACGCGATTTTAAAAGGTATAAGATAGGTACTACATATATTTAAACGCCTGAATATATAACTTATATTCAAAAAAAAAGAAACATTAATTAGTAAGTTATTAGATACTCTATGTCACTATCATCATCTATGAAAGCTCCTTGCGACCCGATTTTAAAATACATATATGTATTTATATAAATAAATTGTCATATTGTTAGTTCCAATAATCATAAACTTTTTATTTACTACTATATATATAATACAAACCTTTGTGGTAACGAAAAGGTCTCCTCTACTAACGAGTTTGTCAGCAATCGCCTGCGCAATGCCCTGGCCAACTTGCTCTTCGTCAAAATATATTGCTGCCGTATCTATGTGTCTATAACCCGCTTCAATTGCCCAATAAACCGCTTGACGAACTTCGTCTACAGACTCTGACTGAAAAATGTATAAAATATAATCATATACAATGGAGAGTATGTAACTATAGTAAGAACCATTTAATCTCAGATACGAGTACATTTCAATTCGTATAAATTACTTTGGCAGTCATGGACACGGTTTCCTGTTACGAGTCTGTACGGAAAATGGAAATAGAACCGTCCAAATTTTTTTTAGTGATAATTCCTTTTTTGTATTGAGAACCCCGTTACGTCATTATAGTTCGACAGTAATCAACTTGATTATATGAACAAATTAAATGTATATAATTTTGTAAATATTCTTTTTATAATTGAAATAAATATTGTGTAAGTATATAGCTTTTTGTTCCTGTTTTAGTTTTGTCTAAATAACTAACTGTCTGGGTAACCTTATCTAATTTAAAAAAAATCTCACAGTGGTTGCCTGGAAGAGATCACTCAAAAGCGATAAGGGCGCCAGTTGCCGCCCTCCTTTTCATTTAATTTTGTCAATTGTATTATATTTCTGTATGCGACGAAGTGTTAATAAATAAATATATAAAATGACTCGTAACAAATAAGCACGCCGGTTTTACACTCTTAGCAGCAAATATCGATGTTTTTAAATTTAGTGCAGTTGAATAATTACGGTGTAATTTGTATTATAACATGCGCATATATTCGGAATATTATGTCACAAGTAAGTCATCATATCATTAGTTCATTCATATTCTCTAATTAGTAACATGGTTATGTGGAAAAAAATCATAATATGCACAGTGCAAGTTTCTTATGAGATATAATTATATATCATATATAAATATAATATTTTATTAGCATTTAATTGGCACGTCATATTTAAGTTGCAATCGAATAACGCGCAAATAGTATAATTTACGATATATCCAACAACGAAGGATTTTATTTTTGGATAATACACTCAAAAAGCAATGTTGGTCTAGTGGCTTCAGCGTGCGACTCTCATCCCTGAGGATGTAGGTTCGAACCCCAGCTGTACGCCTATGGGCCTTTTCTCTCTATGTGCTTATTTAAGACACGCTCGAACAGTGAAGGAAAACATCATGAGGAAACCTTAATGGCTTAGAGCTAAAAAGTCGACGGCGTGTGTCAGGCACAAAAGACAGGTCAGTCTTCTGCCTATTAGATAAAAAAAAAGCATAAAACAGATACAATGTGACGTTCAGAACTAAAAGGTTGTTCCACTGTTATACTTATATTTAGTTGTATAATGCTTTTATCATAAAGGTCAGCAAATTCAAATTACCATGAACAATAATAAATTATATACATCGTGTCATTAAAAAACTTCTGTCTGTCCTACCTCTTTAGCTGTACCTCGACCGGTTCCCAGAGCCACTGCTGGGATCGTGTTGCCATCATTCAATAGGATGGCTGGGGCTGTTACAGCGATTGCCACCTGAAAAAAATATTAAGTTCCAAAGAAACGGTCAATGTGTAGAAAATGTTTTTTTTATATTAGTCCCCATCACAATTATTATACAGATTTCTCTTCTGATAATAAAACTATCACCTAGTTAGGAGCTGTTCCCTACTATAGCTAACAGCAGCAGCATGAGTGTTGCAGCCAATTTTTTTTACTATTTAAATAAATATTTAATGATACAATACTACTACATATATGTATATATATAATAATGATTTCATGAAAAAAACAGAAAACTTTAATCATCGATTTTGTGACGACGTCAAGGTCACTTAATTATATAACGTAAAATTAGTATTGAATCAAAACAAATTATGTACGGATGAATGCCGAATGGCGCTGACAACCCAACACATCACGTCATTATTAAGTAATAACTTGTTTACACTGGCTTACTTACTCTATTAGAGAAAAAATTTAATGTCTAATTTAGTTATATTTTTAAATATTGGATGGTAAACCCGTTTTGAAATATAAAATTCAATTCATTTTATTTTAAACACATAAAATAAAGTGCATTCAGTCATTATTAGATAAGACACGATAACACAATAAAGGCCATACTTAGAACACGTATTTAAATTATAAAACATTTTTTTTGTTACATTCAGATAATTATTATACTATATTTCAAAGATTAGAAAAATATAAATAACAACAAAAGATGGATTGATTCATAGGAATGCAATTATACATAAATTATCTAAAGATTATTAAATACCTGTGCAGTTATACGTTATTACCTTAACACGTCTTTGTTTTTTTTTATGCTTGGTTTTAAAATATTTAAATTTTGCGTGCTATTCACGTTATTTTGTTTTCAAACACAAGGACATGGCCAAAATATTTGATGTACTCGTATCTTTGTTTTATAATATTTACATATTATACCTACAGTCTTTTTACAGAAATTCTGCAATACAATATACAGGAATTAAATTTTATGCAAATAGACAAATATTTCATGGAGTTCCTGGAATTAAGTTTAGATACAAACCTATAAACTATGTACTCGTACTTACTAAGTTATTTACAATAATTATAATCTAAAATACTTATTAATATTTAAATCACAAGTTTATGGCGTTTCATAACTGTAGTTTTAATGGCTAAGGTTAACGAACCTATTCTATTTACATAATGAATGTCTATACTATTTACATAATGAAGTAAAATTATTATTTTAACTAATACTTAATAACATTAGTACATAAAATTATTTTGCGAACTGCGACAGAGTATGTATCCTTGAACAATTTTAAATGTCAAGATTTAGAACTTGTACTACGTTTTGATTTTTAGCCTACCTAAATCTAGATATAGTAGAAATAGACCGACCAGTAAAGGTAAAGTCAAGTAACCAATATAAATATTTTTTTATACAATCTGCCGACCTAATCTAATACCACTTACCTGAAACAAAAGCACAAAAACGGCGAACGGAGGTAACATCTCGTAACAAAAGCTCCACGACCACTGACCACGGGGCAGCAAATATCTTGTTTATAACTAGTTAGTCGAGTACAAGAACATCTGTTTATTTAACATGATTATTCACCTAGTCTATTTGCATCTAATACTTTGTATTTATTATAAAGAATAACGAAAAAAAGGCTTGACTAGGCCTCGGCCAATAAGCTAAGACACGCAGCCGCCAACAATTTATAGCTTATAGAATAAAGGTGTTAGTAAAGATGCAAACAAATACTATGTTCTTTTTTAAGTGTGGTGCGTGAAAGACAATAAAATGTTGTATATATTTCTTAGTAGACAAACAGATTCAATTCCGTGTATTTATAACCGGAAATTTTAATGTATAATGCATGTTCCCTAGAGAATAAAACTTAGGACTTCCGGGCTGAACGCGTTGAATAATTCAAGTATGTGCCGGTCCATGTATTAGGTACCAGTATTTGTACTGACAACAAAAAACACAACCTATGATAGTAAGTTACATCCACACCTAATCCTATATACGAGCCTTACTTCCGAACCACCGTTTAATGCGAGGGATAAGAATTTGAAACAAGCAACACTTTGTTGATACAAAGTGTTGCTTGTTTCAAATCCTTGGTCAACCTTTAGATATATCTACGATAAGAAAAACAAAACCATAAACGAAACAAACGCTAGATTTATTCTCAAATTTTTATCAAGAAGAATCTAAACAACATAATCAAAATAATGTAACGTTATACATATTTTAATTATACTTTTAAGATTGATAACTAAAAAAAATATTAATAAAACAAGATTTGTTAAAGTTAATGTACACGTGTGTACGTGTACGTTTTTTTAATTTAATTCTCTAGAATTAACTTTAAAAAAACAATTAGACTAAACTGATATAACTAAAAAAACAGGCCAGAAGCGGAAGCATCCCAATACCATCAAGCCTATTTGAAATGCTAACCGGACTATACCTAGGAGAATTCAGAATAGTGGTGCATAACAAACGACGCCACGTAGGAAAATATTCCAATAGGTACATTTTATCATAAAATTGTGTAATCTCAACATTTGATCCTGAACACAGACAAAGAAGCGACCACCTACGAAATTAAAAAAATTCAAAGACTATCTTTCACAGGGTAGGTTTTCTCTGAGCGTATTGGTTTAGATATTGTATTTACCCTCATTAATATTCTATCAAAATTTATACATATTTAGAATAAAATGAAGGCTAGGTCCGGTTTAGTCCATATTCATTGGTATACGAGATGCAATGCCCCGTATTGCATAGCAATGAATATTTACATCAAATCGAAAACCAGGCTGTCCTACTTTGATTTTACTTTCACCAGCGTGTTTGATACCAAATCGTCAAGCCAATAAATTCAATCACCTTTTCCCGCCAAATAAGAAGTGACATTATTATAGCCACAGATAATAGAAACTTTTTTATGGTATGCGGTATCTTTGATTCAGTAAGGCCATGAAGCAATTTAAACAATAAATTTATCCTCAATAAATATGCAAATTTATGTTTTAAAACAAAGACATAAAACGTATATAAAATAATATTTTTGATTAATTATAGCCGGTTTTACTTTAGAAAAAATGTTATTATTAATTAACAAAGTTACGACGGTATTCCGAGAAGTCAACAGAGCGAAACATTTTATTCGAAAAAAAAAATATCGAAAGTACTAATCTTATACTATAGATATTACAAGACTATTACAATATCCATAACATTATTATGTTATGATTTTAAAAAAGTTTGTTAGTATCATACTATAAAAAAAAACATTTAAGTACTTTTACCTATTTAATTGTCAATCGATGTATATTATTATATTGTAATTCAATGTAGTTGTAATGTAGTTACTGCAACTAAAGAGAGAGTAGAGACATAAATTATATAATAAAGTTAAATGTCATTAACCGAATCACAAACTTAATCGGATGACTCTCCACGATTTCACGGCCATGGACAAATAACAGTAAAGATCGTTTTGCTCTCAGGTCGCAACGTGCTGAGGACAGTTATCCATATACATATTGGTATGACATACAATTCTGGTGACACCTCCCTGCTTTAAAAGTTTACACCAGAGTCCTCATTCACTCGTGCGACATTCCGTTAGCTAGTCTACAACTTGACATTTCGAATATTATGCAGTGATTTTCGTTGCTGAAATAGAAAAAACATTGGCGGGAAAATGAAACGTTACTTATTTATCTGTGCGATATTATTTTGTATATACGTAAGTGAGTGTAAGACTCGAAAAATGGATTACCCAACGGAAAAACAATTAGTTTTACAACGTAAAGAGACGTCTCCTGTTGATTTTACAAGATTACTTGTGATGAGAGTAGTGTACGGTATGGCCAAAGTACTGGGCTTTGAAGAACCTGTAAGTGGAATATTAAACGGTGCATTCGTACCCCCCGGAGCTGACGACGATGATGACTTTGATGATGATGACGATGGTGGACTATTTGATGATTATTGAGTTTATTCATAAGTAAGATTGGTATGTAGTACATTATTTATATAAGAGTGGCTATTGACTATAATTGTGCTGTTTACTTTATATTTAACTTACCAAATAATTTTTGCATTTATTTGATTGTTTTAAACTGAACCCTTTGTAATTTATTCTTAGTTAAAAAAAATTTCGCTAAAATTAAGCGCCTGAAATGTACTGTAAATAATATTTTCTATTAGGTAATTTATTTTAGTAAGTAAGTGTTTTACCTTCTCTGTTCTACTTAGAAGACAATTATTTATATTATTTCTAAGTAAGTATTTTTTATCATAATACCAAGCAAATTTGTACCTGGTAGGCAATATCTGTATTTTAATAAGTTTTTAAAAGTACATGTTTAAAAAAACATTGGTTTATATTTTATTATTCCTATAGATATACATTATTCATATATTATGTAAAACTAACATAAATAATAAAATTGTCTATGTAAGTTTTGTAATAATGTAAGTAAGATAAAAATAAATTTTGATTACTTATACACATATTTATGTTAATATGTACTTACATTCGCAAATATAAAATTGCTTCAAAATGTGTGTAATAAATCTACACGTAATGTTTTTCGAACAGCGTCTAAGATAAACCAGTCTAGGTTATTACGAAATTTGATTTTCACTTATTATTATTTAAAAACTACATTTACAGAATAATACCTACGAAATATTTAATAAAATATATGGACCTTGCCAATGATCTTGATTTATGACACGGCTTAAAACACACGGTGGCTTGTGAATGCGTCACGCGACAGTGAAAGCACGTTAATGCAAAACGTAATTTGACACCAATCGAGTGTAACGCTCTTCGTCACGCAGATATAATTATCAAGAAGCAATATTTAATATTCATCGCATTCTGATCTTAAAGTTATATCTTAAGATGTACCTATGCTTTGAAAATCTTTTAGTGAAAAGATATCTGAAAAAAAAGAATTTTCAGTGCCGAGAGAAGATAAAACTATGATGTTCTTTATTATATTGTTAAATCGGCTCTTAGAAAAAAAGTCTTTAAAGAAGTCTTCTCAAGAAAATACGAAAACTCAGTATTAAAACAAAGAGGCTTATGAATTCCCACAAACGTCGGCAACAAAACTTAACAAAATGGGTGTCCATGGACTGCTTTTTATGGCCGTCGACTGGATCTTATAAAAAAATTAAAAAGCGTAGACTTAAGTTACTAACTACCGTATTTGTTACCATGATTATCAGAAACGTTTTTGTATAGAAAAAACATCGTATAGGCAGCGGCACGTAAGTCTAGCGCTGGCCGATACGTGGAGGGGATTGCTGCGCATGTGTTTGTGTACTGTCGCGCGGGGGACGGAATGCGACTGGAGAGCCAATCGACGCTACGCGCGCCCGCTAGCCCCCCTCGGGTACCTTATTTTTTACTTCTGCGCAATAACGGTCAGCGCTAGAGTTTCGTGCCGCTACTTGTAACAATGGTGATAAACACGGGCATTTTTGTCTATTACTACATTTCTTTTGTCTACCTTCTATGACAACATCTCAATAGGCAAAAAAAGGAAATATTAAGAATAAGGCAAACTTAAAAAAAACTGCGACAGTTGGAACTATTAAATTCAATTTATATTCATCGTCATCATAAATCATCATTACAATCAAGAAACCACGAATTATTATCAACAAACATTTTATCCTGTGAAATCTCTTCTTCGTTGACCACTTCTGACTCCGTATCTTCAACATAATTACGTCCTTTCATTTTTCGTATCAAAACACCCCATTTTAAAATGGTATTACATTTTGGACAAGAACCTTCAATTGGAACATATTCTCCAGGAGACAAAAATAAATCTGCTAAACAAGCTAAATGGGCTACTAAATTACATTTTTCATTGACACATTTAAGTTCCTTATTATCGTAAATATATTCGAAACAAATCTGACAAACTTCAAATGTTGAAAGAACTTGGGAGACTCTGAGGTTTCTGCATTTGACTGGACCAAAACCGGTTATAATGTGGCCTGGCGGTTTTCGTTCTGGCTGAAATTATTATATTAATAATAAGTACTTACATAATAATATATTATTACTACTATATATTGACGGATTGTTTAACGACCTTCAAGTATATGTAATTTGCAATTAACGGTCATCGTAATAAAAAGTTATAAAGGGCTGGTTAATCAAGAAGCTAAATAAAGTAGTAAAAACGACTCTGTTACTGGTATAACTAACACTTGACATATGAAGATAAAGAAACAGGCCCTAATTAACTATATTTTTTTAAATATATTACAAGTTATATAAAAATAATGTTCTCCTGGCTAATGCACCCTTGGTAGCAAATCTCTATTCACACAGTCATACACAGGAGGTATAATAGTGCATGTGGGTGTGCAGAAACACAGGTTCACTCTCAGGTCTGTAAAAATTATACTTATACGTATGCAAGAGTGACGTGAAACGAAGGACACATGTTTATATGCTCATCTGAGGCAATAGGTATTTAGAGTCTGTGGTACTACTGAACCTTATGCTAGTTATGCTACTAATGAAGGCTTTCTTACAAAAAATGTTTTGGCCCAATCTGGGAGTTGAATCCAAGACCTCTGCATCTACATTTGACTCTAACCACTATACCAATAAAGAAAACGGGATACATTTATAATAAAGGCATGAGTGCCTATTTGCAAGTTATTATGTAACATTTATAAATAATCTTGTATACAATTAACCTACAAAAGGAAAGTTATAATAAAATATTGTAAATAAAAATAGTATATATTTTATTACAGTAAAATACGTAGTCGGTCCCAAAGTTCTGTCATAAATAGAAATAATGATTAAAACAAAAGTATTCATCAGTTTTTAATGAGTGATATATCAATTCATAGTACATTAATTAAGGAATAGAAATAGCATACAATTATTCGAAATGACCTCCCTTATTTTTAATACTGGCCCTTAAGCCCCGCGGCCAGTCGTCTATCGCAGCACGCACCATATTCATGTCGATTTCAGTGACTGATTTATTTAAATATGACGTCAGACTCTCCAAATTTTTGAGTGGTATAGCACAGACCTTCCTCTCTAAGACCTGCCAAATTTTATAGTCCAAAGGATTAAGGTCCGGACTGGAGGAAGGCCAATCCACATGTCTAATTAAGTCGATGTTTTGACGCTCAAACCAGGCTTGAGTGGTCTTGACTGTGTGTGAAGGCGCAGAGACCTGCTGGAACACGAAGTGATGTCCCGAAAATAGCGTGCTGGGCAGGTCTTTGAGAAGCCGATCCAAAACCTTCTCTTGGTACACTTTTGCACTGGTTTTGACCCCCTTTTCGCAAAAATGAACGTCATTTGGCCCGTAATAGGACACTCCCAATCAGACCATTACTGATGATGGATGATGTCCATGTTGCACCCTTGGAACTTTATTTACAGCTTCTTCAGAACTCCTGGCGTACATTCTATCATTCTGTTTATTGTACTTCTCTTCAAAATCGAAAATTTTTTCGTCCGTAAAGAAGATATCACGGTGTCGGTTTTTCGCGTACCGCTTCAACAACACCCGCGATCTCTTAAGCCTTATTGCTTTTAGACGAGCATTAAGTGAGTGCCCACTTTTTTTTGGTATGCGCTCGTAGACCAATATCTTCATTTAAAACCTTTTTTACTATTTTCCTATTGACACCCATCTGCAAAGCCATCAACTTCTGTTTTCGGACTGGATTTCTTGCTATCCGCGCCTTGATAGCTTTGATTACTGCTGGTGTTCTTGCGGAGCGTGGCCGGCCAGTTTTTTTCTTGTCCTCAACACGGGAGACTTCATTGTACCAATCAATAGTACGACACACAAACCTTAGCGTTATATTCAAACTTTTGAGCAACTTGAAAATGGTACTCGGCGAGTGCCAGCAGCGGTGCAACGCAATAACAGCTATTCCGTTCTCTTTCTATGTCCACTCCATCGTGAAAAATTACGGAAAGTGATTGTTTTTTTCTTTTAAAACAATATTCAAACATTAAAAAATATGATGCAATATTTTTTTTATAAAATCATGTTCGAAATTTAAAAATAATGTGACAGTGACAGAACTTTGGGACCAACTACGTAAATTCAAAATTTGGTTTTATTTTACTTACACGAAACTCTTTGTAAAAGTCATGTTCCAGCCATTGAATGGTTAAAGGTAGACGATACCATGGGCCCACTCTCAGCATTTCTGTTAAAACCCTGATTTTAAATTGTATCTCAGTCTCCTTTCTTGGTAATTTCTTGAGGTCTAAATGTTGCAATCTTATTGTTTTAGTAGGATTCTGCCATGCCCATTCAAACTAAAAAAAAATTATGTAGTTAATGCATCAATGTAAATTATATGTTTCACAAAATCTAGCTTAACTGTAATTTAAAAT